CATTTGACCAACTAGTAACCAAAAACATTCTTAAACACACATATCGGACCCTGGACCACAAAACCAGTCATTAGGGTCAATTTTTTTTAATTGAGATTTATACATCTTCTGAAAGCTGAATAAATAAGTGTTCCATTGATGTATAGTTTGTTAGGATAGAACAATCTGGAAGCTGAGGGTGCAAAAAGTAAAAAAATAAAAAAATAAATACTGAGAAAATCGCCTTTAAAGTTGTCCAAATAAAGTTCTTAGCAATGCAGATTACTAATCAAAAATTAGGTTTTGATATATTTACGGTAGCAAATTTATCTTTATCTTTATCAAAATATTTTTATGGAACATGATTTTTACTTAATATCCTAATGAGTTTTGGCATAAAAGAAAAATTGGTCAATACAATGTAATGTTGGCTATAAATATACCCCTGCTACTTATGATTGGTTTTGTGCTCCAGGGGACACATATTTAATCTGAAGCAGGGGTTTCATATGTTTGATGCCACAGACTCCCAAATATGATGATTCCCTTTAATATAAAGGCAGCTATATATTTTCATGTATAGCCTAACATTCTGACGTTTATACAACATTTAAACTGTGAAAAAATAAGAATATTTTAAATAAAAACAAAACATTAATTAAAAATTGGATATTTATTTTCTATCAAGAAGTTGTGTTTTTTCCTGCACATTATTAGAATGATTTTAGATGTACTATATAAACCTAAAGAGAAATATAAAACTATAGCTTTCAATACATTAAAAAATGTGTGATTTTCAACCTTCTAGACCTTTTTTCATCTTTAGAAGGCAGAATGAAGCAGTAATATTATACAATTTGATCACATTCAATCAAATTAAACATTTGAAATGTATTAATAAAAAAGAAAAAGCACTATATTTAAAAAAATATTTCTACAGACCCAGTTTGAAAACGTCTGATGTTAGAATGTTAGGCTGACTGTTATCTTGGAGGTTAATTCAGTCTACCAGTTTGTGGTTAGACATTTACATGAACATCAAGAAAGTAGCATAAGAGCAGTCATGCACGTCTTTATGATTTTGGCAGCTGTAGAGCAGCATAGGTGCTGTTGATTTGGCTGGACCGAATATTTCTACGTATCTTGGAAAAGTCCACCTCGGCGTACTGAAAGAGCAATGAAAGAACACATTTAGCATTTGAATGAATTATATACTGGTCAGCAAGAATCCTCACTTACAGAAATACAGTTAAACATTTAAAAGTTATGATTGTGGTTTCACATAATTTACCTGTAATTGGTTTGGGTCCTGATGCTGTTGTGTAGCTTGCATCTGCTGTCGATCAGTGTTGAGTTGTTGTGATTGCTCTGCAGACCTTCTTTTTCCAACAACAAAAACTTTTACTACTCCTAAAAAGGAACAGTGATTTAGTCAGATTCAGTATTTACTAAATGTTGTATTATTATTATTTTTTTTTTTATTATAAAGTCCCATAAATGGAAAAATAGAAATGAAATAGTTAAAATTAAGAACTTTTAGAACCACATCATATCAATGTTTTTACAGATGGCAGAAATTAACTCACCGATCAGTGCAATGAGCAGAAGTCCGTTCATCAGAGCAGATATGATGATGATAATCTGCCATTGTGTTTGATTCTGCTCAGTATACACAGCCACTGTATGATTGTGACACTCAGTTAATTGAGCTGATTCTGTAAAGAAAGAGTCCATAGTCTGTAAAAGTAACAGTTGTTACTATTGGTACAACGGCTGTGATTTTGTGAAACTGAAAATATTGATAGTATATTGGAGATACTATATGGATATAATTATGTTATTCATAAGTATTTACAAAATTGAGACAATAATTTAAGTAGTTATTATCATCAATATGTCTTGATCACTGATGAAGTAAATGAACTCACCGGTGAAGTATATTCTGGTGCTGTTGCTGAGTTTTGGAGGTGTTTCTGTGTTCATACAGTAATAAACTCCTAATTCATCAGCAGTCACATTATTAATAACCAGACGATGTTTAAACTGCACTGAATATTTATTTCTGAATGTTTTATTGAAGTAAAAGGGTGATGTTGTGGTTGATAAAGATCGTAGAATGACTGTCGGAGGATCTGCTGTTTTCAGTAAAATCCAATAAACCTCATTTTCATCAAGATCACAGTTTATGCTCACATTTGATCCCAAATCAGTTAGTAGATCTGAAACTGCATACTGACAACAGATTAAAACATCTGTAAGATAAAAATAATAATTATAATAATAAAATAAAAACAGACATCATAATTATGATCACTCTTTTAAAACCACTTTGAATCATAACAGTTTTTATTTTTATAAGTTTACAAAGTATGTATAAATGTGTAAATATATAATTAACATGTAATAAACTCACAGAGCTGAAGCTGAATGATCTTCATCTTGTTGCTGTGAATAACGTTGTTTCCTCCGCACAACGCTGAAGCTGAAGTGTGCTGCAACTCTGAAGCAAAAACAGAAAAAAACTTCTGCCACATCAGTCAGAGGAAGTCAAGTTTGCTGACCACACTGTACAAACTTTTTTCAACACCTAATGCCCAACACCTAGTCCTAAAGCACCCTCATCATCACTTTATTTAACAAGTTGAGCATGTTTATTTTGTCTGCACGTGTGTACCCGGTATTCCCTATGTTATGGGGTCCAAATGTCCCCCCCAATTATAGTAACACTGTAAATATTTAATACATGTAAATATTTCATTTGTTTATTTTA